CACTGAGTGTGGACATACACATTATCACGGGACACAAACACGGGCCAGCACACACAGGATTGCACACTGCAGGTAAGCACCACACACAGACGGGTAAGCCTATTAGCCCACACTCTGAGCCCCGGGTGTTTTAACCCTAACTCAACCCATGGAGGTGGTGACTCTCAGGCGAGTGCTGGGCAGCTGGAAGGGAACCTGCCTGGTCTCACCAGCGGGCACAGCAGTAGCCTAGCAACTATAAACACAGCCACCCAGGAGTCAGTACCTCTACCTGGACTGAGGTTGCTTGTGTAGCTGAGAGATGCAGCCAAAATCTAAGAGCCTGAGCCCCAGAAATAAGCATCAGACCTAGAAAACCCTATTTGAAGCAGGTACCAGTACTGCACCAAGAAATGGCACCACGCTACAGAGCATGAAGCAGGCATGCCATACATGGTGCCAGTATGTGTTCCGTGCCACATGCGTCACACACGGTGCTAGTATTTGGCCAGTGCCCACATAGAGACCGTTATTTATGTGAAAACAAGCAGAAGAGATGTATATGGTTCTAGGAATAAACATAACGTGTGTACAAATATAGATACCAATCTACACCTAAGGAGATGTAAAGTAGAAAATCTCTTTCCAGCTCATGGGTACCGTCATCAAGCGGGAACACTAGACTATGTGTCTGTGGCGAGGTCTGGTCTCCTTTCCAGGGCAAGGGGGTCATTTGGTGCCTTGGGAGCTCTTTGATGAGACTGGATGATGGGAGAACTGTATGTATCTGAAATATAATCAAGCCACTGAAAGAGGGGATTTGGGCAGCTTTAAAGGGGAACCCCAGGGTAAAGGGCTGTCTGGACTGTGTCCTCAGAATTTCTGGAAGGTGCTCTCAGCCACAGCAGCAGTAAAAGTGGTGGCCAGACCTGCATGTCGGATGATGGAGCCTGTCTGCAGGTAGGTATCAGTGTGCACAGACTCTGCTGGGTAAGAACATAAACCTGTTCCTGGTACCCACAGACAGGTCCGGACAACCAAGCCCAGCAAGTAGCAGACAATGTGTGCCCACAGATGTCCAGCTGGATCACCAGGGAGATGAATTCACAGGAGAAAAGATGAGGGTAAGAGATATTTTTGTGCACACACAGAGTTCCAGAGGTTTGAAGTTTAAGAATTGTACAGGAGAGCTGCAGAAGTAGGAAAGTGCATAGGTCAAAAAGAAATGCTGGGTGAGCCTCATCCTAGAAGGCCAAGATGAGTGGGGACAGGTCTCTCTGGGACAGCCCAGGGAGAAGCCCATCCATTGTCCAGATGACTCCAGAGTATTCTGCTATGACATTCGCAGAGAAATGTGCCTGGTGAAGTTGAAATCTATTTGCCAATGTTTTGGCTGAGCCTGAGGGAGAAGCAGGCAGGAGAGAGGGCCATATACCAGGTCTCTAACATAGGGTGCAGAATGGAAAGGTTGGCCCCCAGGACTGGCTGTCAGTCTCTGCGTCTGCCCTATCCTTGACCAGGCTTCTGGTGCCTCTCAGCACCTTTCTCTTTCACTTTTACAGCTCTCCATCTCTAAGTCTCTGCCTCTCTCAGTTTCTCTCTGTGCTCCTTCTGTTTTTTTTCTCCTTACCTCTTCAGCTCTTTTACTAGTCTGTACTACTTGGCCAGGAGAATAAGAAGCAATCAGACCTAGAAGCAGCTACAAATACAAAAGCATGTCGTAGATGCAGAGATCATTGGTGATAAAGCCCATCCATCTCGCTGGTCTATAGAGATATACATGACAGCAAATTTCCATTTTTGCACAAAAATCTAAGTATAGCCTTGAAGTTTTGTTTCCTTTTAGTCTTCTGGTTGCTGCCTCTTTGGGTGTCTATCTCTTTATTTCTTTCTGGGACCCTTCATCATTACACCATTCAAGGTCCCCGGACTCTGCTACAGTTTCAATAATCCTGCCTCTCCCCAATATTGCCTTCTTTGAAGTTTGCCTCTGATGGGCAAAGGCTTTTTTGAGACAGAGGTAGCTAGATAGCTGCATTGCAAGCAGGGTTGTGGGGAGGAGACAGCCGGAACTTCAGCATCTACCTAGTTTTGGGGTCAGTCAAACAGACACACTCCCTTAATTTACCTGGGGAGTGCACTAAAAGAAGGATATGGTGGAGTGCTGGAACCCCAATGTGCCAGGGGTGCCAAGAGCCAGCAGAATCCTACTGAGACAGGCAGAGGAAAAGGTACCCAATCCAGTGGAGGCAAGTCCCTGGGACAATATGGAGGAAAAGTTGGGAAGGTCCCAGCTTCCCAACCACGGATCTGGTATAAATAACGTCTGAGTAAGAGAGGGATGGAAAATGGAAAGGGAGGCAGTGTTGCAACTCCTTAGATACCAAGGCACCCTATGGAGATCCGGCTGCAGAGCCTAAGAATGAACCTACAGAAGGCAGCCCAACCTGGAGAGAAGAGGAGAGGCTTGCGGCTCAATCCTGGTGGGAGAAAGGAGGGCCCAGAGTCGGACCAGGTCCACGTGGTTTCTGCTCGTCATGTGTTGGTTAGAATGCATGAACACACCGAAAGCCACTGCTTGGGGTCCCATGGCCATTTACTAGATGGTAGGAAAAGGCGAAATGATTGGATAATATGGAATGGGCTCTGGATTAAGACTCAGACTCAGCCTCTAAACCAACATGGGGTGGCCCCCATTCTGGCCCCATGCCAAATAAACCTGGAGAGCTCATCCTTTTCAACTCCAAAAACACCAGACCCTTGTTTTCTCGCCAGATCTGAATTCCCTGTGCCTGGCGCTCTGTGAGTTTGTGACTCCATCTCTGGCTCCCCCACTCTCTGTGAACTGCGGCTCTGTCCCTCTAGTCCCTGTCATTGCTTCGAAGGTTTTCTGGCTTCATCTGTCTCTGTTTTCAGGTCTCTGTCTCTCCCCTCCTGCCCCCCCACCCCGCTGGAATTAGCCTTTGTTAATTCAAAGGCTTCTCACTGAGCTCCTCCCCACTCTTCCCAGAATAACGTTGAGTAAAATGAGATAAAACCCTCCCGCCCCTAGGTTTTTTTTCCTGTCCTACTCCCTTCAGCCCCCTCCTCCAGGGCTACAACCCCCTCTTATAATGTCAGATAATTACTGGTGTGCAGCTCTAAGGAGCCAGAGCTGATACGAGGGAAGGAGAAAGGGGGAGAGAAATAAATAATAATCTGCCTCCATTCAGCGTATATAGGTTACCTGATTTGCATATATGCTAATAATGCTATAATTACCCTGCTGTTCTGGCCTATGATCAAGTTCTATAAATACATAGGATAGCAGAGCTAGGCCTAGCAACACCACCCCCAAAATCATGGATATAAATGTATGTGCATGTGTGCATTTTATGTACACTCTAAACCTATGAGCCTCCCTTTGTTAGAACACACTCCCTTACAGACCGCAGCTCTTCAGACGTTCAGCTACCCCTCCTGTGTTTGGAAGCTACTCCAGAGGAGGAGAGACATGCCCGAATGAGAAAACATTCTAGGTTTTATTTAATTCTTAATATTAATGTCATTATGAATGCTACTGCTATTTTTAGGAAATTCAGGCTTCCCCAAATTATTGAATTAGTTATTATCACCAGGATTCCCTCACCTTCTACAAGCCTACACTTTGGGGTACAGGCTGGTGGGTAAGAACAGAAAGCCCCCATCTCTTAGGCCTACGGAATGTTTCAGAAGGTGCTGTCTACGGAGGAGGAAGTGGAGTCCCCTTCCCCAAACCTGCCCCTCTTGCCTTAGTCTCCTGGCACACTCACCGCTCGAAGGAAACCAGGGGGAAGATCCACAAGGGGCTGTGCAAATTTTTGGGTGATGGTGGCAGAAGTGGGGAGGAAGCTTGGAGGAACATAAAAGATGCAATCCACAGCTGTCTGCTTTTAATTATAATTATCCCCTTTTGCTTCCTTTCTGGCTAATGAGGGGGGGATTTAAATTTTTTTCTCCCTTTTCTCCCCCTCCCTCCTTTCCCTGGAATTGAGGGGTGGGGTGAGTTCAGGATCCTCCTCCCCTTCCTCCCTTATCCCCTGGTTACTGGGAGAAAGGCAGACTCCAGAGGGTGGTGACAGTCTGAAGAGATTTGTAGGAACAAAAGAAGGACAGGTTTGGATTGCTGGACACGTCCCAGAGCTGGAGAGACCCCCCCCATTCCACTGGCACCCCCTCCCATCAACCCCCCAGCTCCCTAGACAAGGAACTCAATGTCTTCCAGCCGGTGAGAAAGGAGCTAACGGGAGCCCTGGTCTAGAGAGAAGGGGAGGGAAGGGGTGGGGAGTTGGGGGGGTGCAAAATTAGTCTCAAAGGATCTTTATTTCTGAGCTAGTGAAGCAGATGTAATCAAGGGGAGAGCAAAATAATCATAATGGGAGGAATGGGGGAGGGGAGCGGGGCTGGAATGGGGGGACAGGGTCGGGACAGGACTGAGAACTGAGGGGCAGGGAGCATCGAGTGGGGAGAGTCTGTTGCCTTCTCTCGCCCCTCTCAAGTCTCCCTACTTTGAGGTGGGGAAAGAAGGACCAGGGCTATAGACTCTGACCTTAGCCCTCAGAATCCCTCATTCAGAGCTTGGGGATCGCCAGGCCAGAAGGTGGCTGGGAAGGCACCAGGGAGAAGAGAGCCCCCCCCACCCGCCCCCAGTTGAGGGAGGTGGTTAGGAGAGGGGGGACTAAAGGCAGGGGGGAGGGTGAGAGAGAGGAGCCAGCAGAGACTCAAGTGGCCTCCAGGTCTGTGGGACAAAAGTTGGAGGGAGATTTGTGTATGAGAGAGGAGGGGAGGGGGCCGTGGGGAAGGGGGGGCTTTGACAATGAACTTGAGACAAACTTCATTAGCATGCAGGCCTGCTGTCTGTCACGTCGAGCTCAGACCGAGTTCCCATGCAGGCCAGGAAGAGTGGGAGGGAGAAAAAGGGAGGGGCTGAGGGTGGGGGTTAGAGAGAGAAAAGAGACCCGAGCATTGTACCGTTCTGGGCCCCAGCTTCCACCAAATATCGGGATCCCAGCCCTGGAAACCAACCCCCCAAATTGCTCTCCCTCCTCTAAGAAAAAGATAATTTATCTCCCACTTTGACTCTGTGGTCCCACCCCGTCTCTCCTCTCGTCTAGACTTCCAAGTGCTGGCCTTCCTCTCCCCGCAAGATGCTCCCCCCCCCCACCAGCTCTCAGCCTTCACCTTCTGATTGTCACTGTCTCCTTCACAACTAAGATCAGGATTTGTGATTAGTTAAGCTGACCGAGATAGGAATCGAGGCGAGGCCTAGGAAGGGGGGACTGGGACGCCCCGAGCCTTCAAATGGCAAACTGTGTCACCTTCCCATGGCTCCTCATCACCTCTGCGCCTCACCCTCCACACACCACTTAATCGCTCTCTCAAGTTCCAAAGCGAATTAAAACTCAGAGACTAGGGACGGAGTCTTTCCATCACACCCTTTCTCTTGCTTCCCTGGGGGACGAGGGTGGCCTGGAGGAACAATAGCTTCCCTTAGCCCCTTCTTCCTGCCTCAGGTTAGAAAAGGCAGTAGGGGAGGTGGCAAGCAGAGTGGAGGTGACAAAGACCCCTGGCCACACAGGCATTGGAAGGAAGAAGGAGGGGCTTTGTCAGAGTGGGTTGTTATTTTGGTGGTGGTGGTGGTAGTGTCTCCAGAGAGGGGCAGCACCCCCTTTTCGCTGCCTTTCCAGGGAGAGCAGCAAGAGAAAGAAAGAGAGAGGCAAACGAAATTCCTGAATGGATAGACAGATGCTACGTCATCGGAGCTGCATCCTCCACTCCACAAGAGGCTAGGAGCCGGGGGGAGAAAGGCAGTCCAGCCGCAGGGGCCACCCGAACAGTCTCTCCTCCTCACAGAAGCCTGGTAAGTGCCCATTCGGGTCCAGCGAGGATCCCAGCCCCCTCAGACCTCTGGGCTGGGAGTGAGAAGAGATCCCATCAAATCAGTCAGGACGCCCTAACCTTTCTACTTTACCTACTGGCTAATGGAGGCTGGTGCCATCATCACAGAAAGAAAAGGCTGATAAAAGATTTAGGGGGTCCCCAGAATGGATGAGTCATGTGTGAAGAGGGGCTGGCAGCAAGGCTAGCACCTCCTGCCTCCTGGGCACCTATCGCTGAGCCCAAGGCAGTGGCTGTACCCACCCGCCCCAGAGTGGCTCCTGGTTCCCCTCCTTCCCCCAGCCCATGCCGGCTGGAGACAGCTCACTAAGTTTGTCAATGGGATTGTGGGGGGGCTTTAGGGTCACGGTGCTACTGATCCTATTAATCTGCCCCTCCCTTCTCTCCAGCAGACATGGCCAACATCTTAATGCTTGCACCAGAGAGAGGAGAGGCAGGAAGGAGACTGTAGTGGAGAGGGGAAGGAGGGAAAAAATGGTTCTGTGTTTGGACTCCTGACCTTGTTCCCTCCATCTGGCTCTTATTCCTGTCTAACCTAGTGACTTCAGCTTTTAGGGGAGGACCAAGTCTGGGGGGCTTGGGACATGGGGGGAAAGGAGCCAGATTTCCCCCCAAGAAAGAAAGGTGGAAACCAGAACTGGGAAATATCCAAAAATATTTTATAGGATTTAGATTCATTTAATTTCCCCTTTCCCTCCTTTTCTGTGAGCTGGTAGGTGGCAAAGGGGCTGAGGGGAACCTAGAGGCAAGTGAGATGTTGGGGAAAATGCTTAGGGTCTAGAAGGGGAGAGAGCCCTACTCCAACACCCTTTTCACACCCATCTAATGGAGGGTTTGTGTGTGTGTGTTTTGTTTTGTGTGTTTTCTCTTCCTAAGGAAGGCCAGGAGATATAGAAAGAAGGCACGTTTGCTGCCTCTAGTCCCCCACCCACACTGTGCTTTCTGGGAGACAGGATTGGGGCCATTGTGGGGTAATGGAGGCTGGAGCGGAGCAAGCTATTCCTGGAACCCCAGAGGCCAGATTGCTGGGAGAGGCTGAGGCTGCCAGCCATCATACATGCACACACATGTTCCATGCCTGCTGGGCTGTGTTCTTCATCACCATGTTCCCCTAGGCATTGTGTATGCTTTGTTGGGGGGTTGCAGGGCAGAGATCCGTGCTGAGGGGGACAACTGCCCCAGGGACCCAGAACTCTCATTGATTAGGGTGGAGGGAGGAGCCAGAGGCCCCCTAACTGTCCTTGCCTCTGTTTTCTAGCATGTCACCAAATTGATGTGGGGTGGGGGTAGCCCCTTCTTTGGTATGAAGATAATTTCAGACTGAGGCATCCCTTTATGAAATGGATGGGCTGGCAGAGCGGAGGATGGGAGTCAAGTGAGTATTTGTGAGTGTTAGAAGTGGGGGTGGTATTCAAAGCACCCCTCCTAGAAATCAGACTTGGATGTAAGGCTTGTCCCTGCTCTGTAGCCCCCCTTTTTTCTAATTTCCTACATTTAGGTAGGCTATCTTCCTGACATAAAAAAAAAATTAGGCTATCTTCCTGACTTAAAAATAAATTAGTTGTGGAATTGAGTTTGAGATGGAAGAATTCACCAACTTCCCCCAACCCACACACAAACACACAAACATATACATGTAGAACACTCATCATAGTACCTTAGGAGCTAGGTCACCTGCAGTATACATGCCACTCCCCCAAATCGTAATTTAACCTGAAAGCAAAATTCTGGGAAGATAAGACTGTAACATACTGAGACTAGATTCATATCCAACACTAATCAAAAATAAATGCTTCGTCTTCACACCTTTTGTGTGTGTGAAAAAGAGAGGGAGAAAACTGATCACTGCAGGACCTTGAGAGATATTCATGGATGGGTGATAGGTGGACAGGTCATGACAGAGATGAGTAGAGAAAGCTAGAGAGATACCATCACTGAGGATATTGTAAATGTGCACAGCACTTCACAGTTTACAGTGCGTTAGATCCAGACAGTCAAAAATATATCCCTAACCCTAGCACCTTCATCCTGTCCTAAGCATGCTCTCCCAAAGACCCCAGGCAGCAGGAATCTGCAAGGAGATAGTGTCCTTTGGGCAGGAGATGACTTCCTTAGATTTAAGTCTGAGAGCTCCACAGCCTGTTTAGAGTGGGCCAGACCCCTGGGCCCAAAGGTTTTGGATGGAGATGAGAGATCGTGAGGATAAGGCTGGGTTAGAGTTGCCCAGGCGAGACGGAGCTGAGAGGCCCAGGCAGGGAGCGCTGCCTGCATGTCCAGGCTTTTCTCACTATCCTCCTGTGCAGCCTCAAGCCTGGCGATTAAGAGGGGACGTAGCCAGTCCAGGTTCTGAAGATGCAAGGCTAGGAGAAAAAGAGTGGCCGAGAGAGTGACAGGAAGGCTGGGGTCGTCAGGGAAAGAAGGCTGGGCTTCTCAAAGGACTTTAACCTTTGCATTCTCCTTGACAGGAGCTGGGCATCCAAGAAGGAGCCGCCTCATTTGTTTCTGGTGTCATCGTAGGTGGCCACCTATGGCTTCTGGGGTATTTATTTTCTTATTTATTGTTTCTGATGTGGAGTGGGTGGGGGGAAACTGGCCCTGTCTCACCTATGTTTCCTCCCGTGCTCTGTACCCCTCTACGCCACTCCCCACCTCTTCCAGCTTTCAGCCCCTGATTTTGGGTCTGCTCCAACTGTAGTTAGGCCTACATAGTCAATGATAGGCCACCCTGCTTCAGTTCTATAATAGAGAGGAAAGGCACTGGGGATACAGGGAACTCTTTCCCCTTCTCCCATAGGCTCCTCAGGGCAGAGTTGGTGACCAACTGACCCGGGGAGAGATGGTTGATTGGGGAAGGGAACAGAGATACTCGTACCTGGGTGACAGAGGTGAGAAAGAAGAGCAGTGCGGGTTATGGTGAATGGGGACCCAAGGAACTTAACTGTGAGTGATATGTGCTCCGGAGTATACAGCTGCAAGCACTGGGAGGTGGTCCTGCTGGGAGTATCTGTGGATTTGTCACTGCATTGGTCTGAGCTGGTAAATTTGAGAGACAGAGAGAGAGAGAGAGTGTGTGTGTGTGTGTGTGTGTGTGAGAGAGAGAGAGAGAGAGAGAGAGAGAGATACGCAACACCCTTGCATATTCATGTTTATGCCCTTTAAGTAGGCCATTTGCTGATGGTTGAGGGTCTTGTAGAAAGGGCTCAATCTGTATGAACCAGCCAACCCTCTACCATCTCTGCCACCTTGTTCTCACCTCCTGGACACCATAGCACTCTCAGGCAAGTGAGCAATGTGTGGGCTCAAGAACAGAACTGGGAACAGGCAAGGAAGGCAGTGCTTACACAGGCCCAAGGAATTCTCAAGCTAGCCCCTCAGTGGGAGGAAAATACTGCTCTCTCTAGGAAGAAGAATGGCATCCCTAGGAACAGAATCCTCAAGATTATTTTCCACACCTCCAACCTTTTCTGCCCATCTGAACAGACATTATTTTTCACACACCTTAGTATTTTTTACTGCTATTTCTGGCTTTTATTTGTCACTATCCCATAGACAACGCAGATTTCTATAGCAAAAAAAAAGTATGATATTGTTCATAATGATGCACTTATAAGACAAATAAATATCTGAATCCACCCTCTCCTCAATGCAGCTTTCATCTGTGTCTTCAAGGCAAATTAAACTGGTAATTGAAACAAAGAAAAAATATATGCTTTTTATTTAATTACCTGACTCTTTCAAGAAAGTGCTTGACTGCCAAAATGTATTTTGGAGCCTGAATTATAAAGATCTGTCCAAGAGCTGCATCCAGAGAGCATAATTCAGGCCATGTTTTTCTCCACATGGGCCTCTTCAGGCACACAGACAATAGGTGGGCATCAGGGCTATAAGGGATGGGGGTGGGGATGGGCAATGGCAAAAAATGGGGGCCCCTAAGCCAATGGAGACACTTACGGACTCACATCAGCTCCAGGGAATCGATGTGCTTTCCCCACAGCCCCTAGAAATTCCCTGGAAGGACTCAGGGTGGGGTCTGCAGTCCATCGCGCTGTAGAAGGCTCCAGCTGACTGTGCGGTGTGCCGGAATCAGAGGGCTCTACTCCAACTGAGACCTTCTCAGGGACACTGAGGCTGCTGGGCCAAGCCCAAAGGGCACCCACGGAACCCATTTTACTCCAGCTGTTACACTCTTCTAGGCCTGCTGTATCTAGTAGAAGGATCTCCTCTGGTCAAAGGAGCTATCAAATAGTCAGGAACACACAACACAATAGACACAACTCTCCCCTCCCCCTCCCCCACAGATCCCATAGAACACACAACTTACCAAGACCCTCGCTCCCTACCCCTAATGCCCTCAGTCTGCCTGATGGCAAATGCACATTCGAGGTACACAGATCTCTATTAATTGATCAATTACTGGGCGCCCACTATGCTTTAGTAAAGTGTTAGCTACCATGGACAAGAATATGTGTGACATTGCCCCCTGCTCTGGAGAGACTGTCTCATTTGCCACCCTCCAAGTAGTTTCTGTTTTGAAACTGGAACAATGGTATTCAAACCAATCCCAGTTAACATGATGGTGGGAGTTTTCTGCTTCTTTCATGGCTGATAGCTCTTTCTCCATTGGAATAAAGACAGATGCCCTACTCACCTTTATCCTTGAGCAGGAGTGGGAGAAGACGGGGTTGCCGAGCACACCCAGACAAAACCAAACAAAAACTTACTTCATCAGCAACCTTGACAGAAGTGGGGATTTATGTGGGTAGCGCCAGGACAATTTAGACTAATCTCTGTTTTCCTTTGTTGGGAGTCTCTCCTCCCTGCATTTGGACACTCTGTTTGGGCTGAACTATCTGTGTAGAACCCAAAGCCTCACTAAGAAGCAGAGGGATCTTGCTGTTTAACAAGCTACTTGGAGAAATTTAGATATATTTTCAGAAGGCATCTAAATGTAACCATTTCTCTCTTGACCTTGGTTTTTGAGGATGTCCAGCTGAGTCTGAATTTGGCCAACAGAGGTGGGGTGGGGGAGCCTCTGATGGGCAAAAAAACCTTTCTGTTCTCTGCCTCCAATAAAAATACAGCAGTGGCTGAAAGAGAAGGAAGGTTCATGTTGTTCCAGTTGCCTCTTGCCTACTGTTTGGTCAGCCCGGGCCAGGATAAGGGATCGTGGTGATAAGCTTGGGCCCCACAGAGGACAGGGAACTGGGTTGGAAATTGGTAACAGAGGAGAAAAGGGAGAGTTTTAGCTAGCAGAACAGCCCACTCTTCCCTTCTGGCCCCAGCCTCCCAGGTGCTGGTGAGGGGAGGGTGGATTGGGAGGAAGGTTTGCTTAAGGTGCTTTTAAGGGATCTTGTGGAAGGGCAAATGCGGAGTTATCTGTAGGGGGAGTTGGCAGTTTGTTTGGAGAGGCATAGGCCCTAGCTAGAATTGCTGGAATGTCTGGAGGGCATTAAGCATCTTAGAAATGGGTATGACACGGTTTCAAGAGAAATCTTTGAGGGGATTTGTAGCCATGGAGGGGAATGGCTGGAAAGCCTATAGCTTTTCCTGGCTGGATGGGGTAAACATTTAGGGAATGCCTTTAGCAGCACACCAGGAGGTAGGTCTATCTGTGAGACTGTTTGAGAGGGGTTCTTTTTTTGTTTGGTTGGTTTTGGTTTTTTGTTTGTTGCAACTCTGCTGCAGAGACAGTAGACCCCAAGGCTCTGCTCCCGGGTGCTTCAGTGCTTCATTCTAAACTGTAGGAGCACCTGGGAGGGGCAGGAGGAAACCAAATAGGGAGTGGACACCATCTCTGTCTCTTTCCTTCCCTCCTCATCATTGGCTGGTGTGTTCCCTGTTCTGGAAGGGTGAAAATTTGACACTGTGGAAGCATCTAGAAAGCCTTTCACTTAGGTAAGGGCCTTGAAAACCCATGGCAACTGACAGAAGGAAGAAGCTATGCCAAGCCCAGTAGTGCGAATGCCTGGGGAAGTTAGATTGTTTCCTTCAGCCTCATGCTATCATCCTGGCAGGAAAACATCCGGCTCCCAGGCTTTATCTTATTCCAAACTGCCCCCCACTCCGTAGTCATGTTGCCAACATCAATTGAAGTAATTATTCAGATATTCTCCAATCTTTGGGGGAAGCACCAAATTAAATTGATTGGCCATAGGCTTGCATCTAACCAAGAACAGCTTTCAGGCTTGGCTTTGTCCTGGGCTGTGCAGACAGGCATATAAAACAATCTGATGGGGCCTGATGACAAAACTGGTCATCCCCTGGAGCACACCCCTGGTGGCCTAGTGTTCAAGGATCCCTGGTTATAGGAGCTGGCCCATCTGGCTGACAGGCTCCAGCTATCTGAGTCATAGTTTCATTTTATTTTTATTTTTATTTTTTTAGTAAGGCGGTGGAGAGTAGATTGGGTACAAGTGTGGGGTGCCTTGGGACCAGGAATTCGAATTGCTCCCTGGCAGAGCTCAGGTAGGGGCCCACAGCTCGTTCTGTGAGCTCTACAGGGCAGCGGGGTTCAGTTACCTCTCAAGGTTGAGACAAGGCATTATTGGGCCCTGATTCCCAGCGCAGAGAGGCCGAGACAGGAATGTCGCGCTGTGTCAGATAAGGAGCCAGGTCCAGAAAGTCCTAGACAGAACCTTGCTGGAGGGCGATCCTCCTTCCATAACCCCAGCTCTCCAGACAGCTGGAGCAGGACCGCGGGCCAGAGGTGGAACTCTCACCTTGTTGGAAAAGGGCACGAAAGTGCTAGCAAGGGCCTCCACGCTCGGTGAAAATCTGTGGGTCTTGCCCTGACTGATGCCAGCTGGAATCCTCACCCTAGCTTCCCTTACCTGTAACTTTGGTTCTGCGAACACATTCAAGAGATATTCCAGTTTCTGCAAGGCAGAAAAGGAGGCTCAGCCCCGCTCTCCCCACAGGAATCCCAAACTTCCAGACTCTTTCCCTCATTGTTTTGAGTTGAAAAGCAGCAAGAGGGGTTCCTGCCCATTCTAAAAGATTAGGCCCACAGTATGCTAAGCATGGGTACCCGAGAAGCACAAAGAATATTCTGATGGGAGGAGGCAGGTAGGAGTAGAGTCTGCAGTCATCTGGTTCTTTCTGAGGGGCTTTCACCTGACCTCTTTTCCATCTGTGCGCCCTCGTGTTGGTGCAGCATACCTAGGGCCAAAATGGAAAATGTAGAACCTACAAAATGAGTGAGGTTGGAGATCAAAACCACAAATGGCAAGGATTGGAGGTGGCAGGCGGGTCTCGGGTGTGTGAGGCAGCGTGAGGCTGAGAATCAGCGCAGAGACGTAGTAGTACCCCCATCCCCATTCTCCGGGGGGGAGGGGCGCCCCAATTGCGCTCCCGGGCCGGCCCGGGAAGGGGGAGGGGCGGGGCCGGCGGGGAACGAGGCGGTGACGTCAGATGCGGTAGAGCCAATCAGAGGATGGCCTGGAGAGGGAGTGTGAAAGGATGAATGAAAAGTCCGGAGCCGGAGCGCGCCGGGGCCAGAGCCGCGGTAGAGGCAAAGGAGGGAGCGGGGAGGTGAGACTC